CTTCATTGACTTCGAGAAAGCATACGATCATGTAGACTGGCTGTTCCTGGATAAATGTTTAGAAAAACTAAACTTTGGAACAGACTTTCGACGGTGGATAAACATCTTACATCAGAATGCAACCACAAGGGTGCAGATCAATGGGTCCCTGGCTCCAGAAATATAATTGCAATGCTCGGTGAGACAGGGTGACCCCATCGCCCCCTTCCTCTTTATCATCATAATGGAAGCACTAGCAGCCAACCTCCGGCACAACAAAAATTTGGCGAGAATTCGGATAGCACGCATCCCAGAGGAGGCGATCCCGGTGTGCTCTCTGTTTGCAGACGACCTGACAATCATGGTCGATGCTACACAAAATAACATAGAGGAAATTCAAAAGCTAATGGACCAATTCTGCACCCTGTCTGACATGGCTGTAAACTGGGGACAAAAAACACTAGGCTGGTGGCTCCATCATCAAGGGGGCCGCCCGCCAGAAAGACAGCGGGTCGCATGGGTCCCTTCGGAGACCCCAATCTGGGTTCTAGGGGTCAAGATGTCTGCAGAAGGAAGGACTCCGGAGAATGACGAATGGATCTCGGCCCCGACCCTTGCTAAACTCTCCCAATGGAACCATAGGAACACGTCGCTCTTCGGACGGGCACTAGTTATTAATAATGTGATCTCGGCATCTCTATGGTACAAGGCCATTCTCTGGCCATTGAGCGAAGGAGCTCTGAAATCCCTGAAGAAGAAAGCGGCAGCTTACCTGTAGAGAGGTGATAGCGAAAATCCCCATGCCATCAGCCGGGTCGCGTGGGACTCGGTTACCCAACCCAAGACAAAAGGGGGGCTCGGAATATTAGACCCCCTTACCCAAACACAGGCCCTCAGCCTTCAATGGATCGTGAGGTTGATTTTCGCAAACCCGCTGGTGTGGAGACCTCTCGCCCTTCAACAGATTGCCCGCTTTGCCCCGGAGGCCCCCCCTACGGTCCATCCGCTCCAGTGGCTGGATGATCGCTATTGGAGAGTACCACGACGCCCCCGTGGGGGGGAGAGGCGGGGGGATGACTTCTGGCCTCGTCTGCTAAAAACTTGGAGGAGACTCCCCCCCCCGTGCCGCCCACCCCCAACCAGGTGGGAGGAGGTGGCAAGACAACCCCTCTTTGGCAACCGCTGGATCACCAATGGTCTGAGTCAGATCTATTGCAGTTCTGAGTCCCCGTGGAAAGGATGGGTGAAGAATGGGGTAACACGCGTGAGAGACCTATGGGACGCCAAGGAGAACGACTGGAAGAGCCCGATGGTGATGAAAGAGTGCCTGAGATATTGTCATAACATAGAATCAGCAGTAGAGGAGATCACGGAAGCCCTCCCGGTGGGGTGGCGGCTCATCCTACGCAAAGGGCCACAGTTACAGGAAGGGGATTGGGTGTCCAAGGACGGGGCGACAGATCAAGTGGGTTTGGTCCACCAGGTCCGATTAGAGGATGCACTGATAGAGTGGTATCAGGTGAAAGAAGGTGGACCATTAGTTGGAAGTCGGAACCCCCTCCAATGGGTAACCAAGGTGACCCTATACCGAATTAGGATCATTGGGGATGGGGAGAACCAAAGGGCGTTCATGCCAGACATGGCCATACAAGACCTACCCATAGACCCACTGGAGTGGATCTGGACCCACGAAGGGCGACACAAATCGGGGCAATCCTCCCCCACCGCATTGGCTGACCTCTCTGTGAAAGCGACCTACAGAAAGATCATAACCAAACGGTGCCTGAAAGCAGTCGTGATAGACAGATGGCAGAGGCATCTTAACGTGCATCGCCAGCTCCTTACACCAATTCGGTGGTTCAGCGACACTAAGAGTAGACCGACAAAGATTACGTCCTTACAGTGGCAAATACTGCACCGCTGCCTGCCAACAAACGACTGGTTGATAGATCACTCGAGTTTGGAACAGCAGGGTCGGGCCCTCCCTTGGTGTCCACGCTGTTGCTCGGGCTTCCCAACGAGATTGAGGACGGAAACGATAAAACATATTTTTCTACAATGCCCGATAGCAGTTCTAACCTGGAGATGGTGGGATCGAATGATGCAGCAAATTGTTCCTGGACATCAGTGGCCGTGGGATTGGCGCGCCATTCTCTTAGGCCACTACCCGCCTCTCCAAGGACACTTTTGCCTGGAACATGTTCCACCTGGGCAGAAGGACGGTCCTGTGGGTTCTATGGTGGCAACGGTGCGCCTTGGCGTTTGACCAGGTCCGAGTCGAGGGGGAGGAGAGGGTCGAACAGTTCAAGCAACATATACAAATGGAACTGGAATATAGATGGAAGATCGTCAAATGCACCCTGGACACCCTCAACAGAGCAAAAGACATCAAGGATAGGATAACACAATTCTCCAARGAATGGCTGGGAGGGGATCGAGAGGGGTGGATAGCAGAGGTAAGATGGTCAGGGGAAGGGAAGGAAGTCGAGGGAAGGGTGGGAGGCCAAGGAAAGAGAACGGTGCCACGAGACTATCGATTACAGTTCAAGGACTGGATGACCATAGACTGCAGCATTCCCCTGAGGCCAGCAGAGGACTTCCCGGACCCATTCCCACCCCACCCACTGTCCTTGGAATTAAAACTGAATCAAGACTAATGGACAACTCCTTATTTTCAATGTAAGAGGAACCAAGGTAGGTGGGGCATCACGCTGCACATACACTCCAAAAATAAAAGAGTCTGCTCCTCTGACTTTTGTTGTCTAGTTTTGTCTGGTTTTTCAACCTTTTTGTTTCTTTGTTCGTCCTTTAGCTCGGGTCTTGGATATGCTGTGTTGTAATCAGTTTTTTTTATCATACTATGTTCACTCTGTAAAAAGTCTGTAAAAAGTCTGTTTTTGTTGGTTTTTTCAACCCGCCCATTTTAGTAGTTCTATCTTGCTTCATTTGGCAACACTTCAAGTTCGCCGCCGGTCAGTGTGTGGAGGACAGTAGGCTCTTTGGGGAACGGGGCAGGGAAACGGAAGATCACTGGTGCCCCCCAGTTGCTCTTCCCGGAACCCTGTCCGGGCACAGGGAAAGAGAGGGATGGGCTCTGGAGCAATCAATACTGGCAGGCATTTTCCAGTCACCATCCAACCTGCCTTCAAGGTGCTACACTGTTAACAAAGAGAGGCTCCTGCAGCAGAAAAACAGCCGGGCACAGGGTGGAGCGGTTCATCAGGCCTGCAGGGGGAAGACTAGGTCGTCAGCAGCTGAAATCCGGCGCCAGGTATAAGGCGAAGAGGTTTTCTCTCCCAGCAGCCCAACATTCGGTGCAGTGGATCTTCGGCAGGCAGTGCTTCTCATCTACCTCCTGACACAACATGCCCAATGGCGGGTGCTTCTTTGTTTTCCAATTTGTTTTCCCTAGTTTTCCAAACTTGCTTAGTCAATCCCCTGGACTCCAGGGTAATCAATGCTGGCAAGAATCCTCTCCAATTTTCCACATATTTGTCTGTCCACTGTGTATATGGGACGAAGGGCCCGTTTCCCAGCAGGTGACACTCCCCACCAATAGATGGAGCCTCTCCCCGTAGGGTAGTGGTGGCTGCTCTTATCAGCATCACTATCCCAGGGGTGTGTGTTGTTGTTGTTGTTTTAAAAAAAAAAAAAAAAAAAGGAGGGCGCTCCAGATTTCCTTTTTTCGTAGTGGTTTTTCCAGAGCCTCGCGTTGTTCATATGATATCCTTTTTGTAAGGGGATCTAAAAACTCCTCAACCTCACGTTCCCTTGCTGGTCCTGGTTCCTTCGTCAGGTTGGAGGTAAAGAGGTCTTTATAAAAGTCCCTGGCCACTTTTAGACTATGGGTTGATGAGTATGAGATGACCTCCCTTGTTTTTACAGGGTCGTATAGACCCTCTATGGCTGATCTTTTGGCCCTTGTCTGGGCGAGCGCAAAGAATCTTGCATCCATTTGTCCTTTTACTGAGTGCTTCAAAATTTTACCTCTGATGATAGATCCCTGCCACCTTTCTCGTGCAAATTTCAGTAGTTGTTCTTTAAGTTTTTGTATGTATGTGGGTTCCGGTTGAGAGTTTGGATACCGTGGTTGTTCCAGTTCCTAGTTCTGTATTTTCTGTTGTATATCTATTTCCTTAGCATATTTCACTTTAGCACATATTTTTGAAAATTCGTTGCATTTTCTGGCTAAAAAGGTCAGCCCCATACTTGCGGCGCACGTGTGCGCTGCGCTATGCGCGGTGGTATGTTGTGCGCCATTCGTCGGATCAGCAGACAACGTACTGTGCGTTGTGCACCGTTCGCCGTGTGCTGTGCGTTGTGCGCGCGCTGCGGCCTGTGCACCATGTGCGCCGAAATAAA